ATTCAAACTACAGTCTACTGGATGATAATACCTTTTAGGAAATCATGGCTTTGTTAAATGCAATATAAATGTAAGGTATACTCATATCATTGTGGGTAAAATTCAACTACCAGTTCCCTTATCATCTTAAACGAAATAGGGTGAATACACCTATTTTACTGCGCATAATCAGGAAAATCTTCCCTATTCTTTATATGAGGGGAAACTCTCTAAAAGAATTCCTTCGTAGATTTATGTTTGCTTCTATTTTACTTTATTTGGTAAGATTAGTAGAAGGTATACATAGATTGAACTCACTGTAAGCCGAAGTAGAATTGCATTGGTATGAATATAGACTTTTTCAAATGGGATCTCGGTGCATCTTCCGTCAACCGATATTTCCAGACTCGAAATCTCCAGAGGGGACATTTTGAACTTTGTGATTTCTCGCTTTTCAATTCATAAGCTTACTCTAGAATAATAAATTAGACGAGAATGGCAATTTTTCAGCATTATAAAATGGGATCTAAATCTTAATGCTCGGTGAGTTTTCGTAGTGCGTGGGTTCGTGCTGTAATAAAACAAGCGTAAGTTCAATACGGATTCCTCAAAATCGTTGGACGGTGAGCCTGAGACACAATTAAAACTCCGGAGAAATCGTCTAGCCTCATATGAAGGCAATTTACAAATCCCTTTCACTCGCATAGTCAAATGAAATAAAAAGGTAGGCAAACGTTTCCCCCATTATATTTCAATCTAGTAGGTCAGCCCTACTAATCATGAAAGTATTTTATTTTGCTTACAAAGTTGTAGATTTGGCATTGAGTAGGTTTCGAAACTACAAACTTTAAATCATCCTATTCTATGTAATTTTTCGTTTTATTTTTTTTATATTTAGGTTTCCTAGAATCTCATGTAAACGGCTTTCGCTATACATCTATCCGAGGTGACCATGTGGACATCCTTTATGACAACATAAAATATGCTTTCTACCAGCCTTGTGATGGAGAGATGATCATTCTCCTTCATTTTCATCTCAAGGTCGAAATTGAATTTTTGTTATGGTATTTTATTATTATGGTCACGTGTATACATTATCAACAGACTATTATTTTTGTAGATATCTTATATTTTCTTGCATAAACCATTTTGACTGCCATCATTATCAATTCACGCTTTTTAACTTATTCAAGGATTATAATTTAATGGTAACTATCTTTAGATCATAGATATGAGGACCAATTTGTTGTCTTTAGGTTTGTTAGCAGTCTCTTTTGGCTGCATAGTGTTATTTTGACGTAGCCGCAAATTGGTATAGGGAAAAGGAAGGCTTCGTGGAACGTACCCAGTCTCACGTCCTGTCATGATATTCATCGTAATTCCCACATAGGATCACTGACCTGGTACATTCCAACACGTTTGGCCGGTAGCATCAGTTAGGGGCGATACGGTTAACACAGCTAAACATGAATTTCCTTTAGTTTTTATCAGACGACGATATGAGGTTTAGTCTAATGTAATCTGAGGGTCGGTTCAATATATATTAATCGAACGGTTGATTTGACTGTAGATTAAGATTGGTACAAATTTTATCGTATCTATCAATCCATCTTGTGTATTTTCTCATTATTCACATCTAATTTTACAGAATGCAATTATGTATGGAAAGAAGAAACAGACCGATATACAGTTCTACACAGAAGTCGGGGAACTGACGACTGATTTGGGCAAAGCTCATTCTAGAATGCATGATCGAGACGATTTAGAGATAGAGCAGCATGAACGGGAAATGAGAGAGCATATCAAAAGCTGCTTTATTAGCTTCTGTGAAAAGGTTGAGGCTCAAGCTCAGGCCAGGCATTTTAGTCTCGAATTTGAACGCCCCTTCCGTGACCTCGGATTTTTTGGGTGTCCCAATCGGTAAACCTTAATTAATTCTTTTATTTTTCATGCTGGTTCGCACATTAGCCTTCTAGAGCATTGATACTTTGAGACTTCACTATTTTAGTGATAACTTTCACTTTGCTATTTTATAGTTCTCGCTTATTCCATACACTAAATCACTACGAAAATTGGTGATTTTATTTTGACCCTTTCATAGATTCATGTGTACTTAATTGATTAATTTTATTTAAAGAAATTCTTTCGCATTCATATATATATATATATATCCTATCGCTTCCTTTCATTATATAGGCTTAGGTTACTGAGTTTTTTTGTTTT